GGGTTTAACGGGGCACTCGACGACACAGCAATTATAGACTTGAGTTCCGGGTGCCCGATTACCGCACGGCCGGTTGGTCAGCGAGCGCTCGCGCATGGCAAGATTTAATTGACGTTGGAAAGACGGAGTGGAGATGGTAGTGGTGGTGGGGGGGGAGACCTTTACGCACTCATGTTGGAGTTCGATGGTTGCTCACGGACGTGACACGAATCACGTCTAGCGATACCGATACCCTAGATGGCTGATGATTCGAACGATATTGGAAGTAAGGGTTGAAAACATCGGTAGAAGGTTTCCGGGAAGGGCAGGGGCAAAGAGATTACAGAATCCCTCAAAACACGAAGTCACTTTCAAATGCATTTCAAAAAACGGCAGTGCTAACATGTCATGCAAATAATTCATTTGATCAACTGTGTTGTGGGTGAATGACATAAAGACAAAACCGAGAAATATGTATCTGATGAAGCTGCTTTGAAATCGGATTGAAACATAGCAGAGTGCAAATGGAACTTAAGGAAATATTGCAGACGTGCAAGTAATAACGGTTAAATGTAAAAAAAACAAACTAATTTGGGGGAAAGAACAAAGGCGCGGTTGTTGTTAACGACACTGCGGACGGAAATCACGGTGTCGAATCAACATTCTACGGCGTTTTATCTGCACGGTCTTCCAGAGTGTACAGTACAGGCCCCTCCAGCCGGCCCCGCATCTGCTACCGTCATCCTGTCTGTCACAATAATATCCCCGGGTAGCCGGGATCAAATCTCCCCGTTCACGATCAAGGATACGGTGCTGACATGATTCAACTCGCGGCGGCGCAGCCCGTCTCGGCTGTCCGTCTGGTCAATGGCAGGATTGATCAGCATCACATTTCCCTTTGAACCAATTGCCCGCGTCCCATCTTTTCGGTTTTTCTCTCTGCTCTCTTCTTCTATTTGTATAGCTTTCTTTTCATCAATCTGTCGTTTCTTTGTCGTGGCATTGATTTCGGGCTCCCTTTCGATCCTCTCCTCTTTCGAGCGCTACGGCTGCTGCAATAGGCCACAACTTTGTTTTTCTAAAGACGACTCAATGTTGGCTCCTCCAAATAAAATGTCACGCTGATTCTCAAGCTGCGTGGATTATATTTCTGCCTCGAATTTCAATAAGGTAAGCCTGTGATGTACTTCGGAAGACCCGCGAGGAAAGCTGCTCTGATTTTGTTTAGCATGCATATAAAAAGCTACCCAGCCTTTTTTAACACATTGCCAAACACTTTTGCTATCCACGTTTCACCAGAGTTACGTTGACATATTTACACTGAAATGCGTTTAAATGCTAAGCAGATATCGAACAGCTGAGCGTCTACCATGGAAGAGCGCTTTAATAGCGTATGAAAACATTCCTCAACGTCTTTCAGGAAACACGTCGTGGGTCACACGTGCTGAAAAAGCGGGTACAAAAAGTGCTTGAACTCTGAACGCTCTTTACCGTGCACGTGTTTGTGCCTAAACGCTTGAACCAGTATTACTGATAAAAAATCATGCCGAAAATCATGTGGAAAGTAATAAATCCGGCACGGTCATCGGTGTAATGGGGGGGGGGTATATCTCACCTCTTTTTTGACCAAGGGATGGGCTACCGTATTCAATCTTCCACACAGTTTTTGGCCAGGGGATGGGCGATTGAATCAGCCCCCACTTTTTCGGACTCCCTAACAACCACAGTGTATTCAACATCACCCCCAAAAATAATTTTCAAAGCTTTAAGTAGGCTACGGTCGTATCGTGAATATTGCCCCCTAGTTTCATATGATGTCAGCATCCCCCGTCGCCTTTTAAATTTCCACGGCTCGGCTAGGCGTCCCCCACAATCCCCCATCTACCATTTCCCAGCACAACTCAAGCCATCACTGCTACATCAAGTCATTTCATTCACTGGGCAGAAAGTAATCCAAGCCTGGCATTGTTTCCCAAAACTCCCTTCTTAAAAGGGGGGTCTTAAACTGGACAAGAAGACACACCGCTGCGGCTACTTTATGTCAAAAAGTTCCCTTTTGCGTATAAAACTGCCTATTTTACCTCTCAGATGACTTGTACATGTGTATGCTCGACAGCATCATTGACTATAGTCACATTTTTGTTGGTCTAATGTTGAATGGTTTGGGTCTCAGGAGATGGTTGAAGGTACTCACGTCGCGGGAAAATTTTGAATAGGTTTGGGGCCCTCGAACTTCTGGGGCGGTGTGACGTCGCCAAGTTATTATTTTTTTTTCATATGATGCAGTAGCGAGCCAGAAAAGCGAGAGCGACGAACACCATGCTAGCAAGCAGAGCCTTGAGTCTGATTTGTTGAGGGTTTTGGAATATTTTCCTACATCTCCGATTTTAAATTTTGTTCTTGTAAGTTTCGAGATTCTGTGCTTGTGACAGGCTTGGGGAAAAAAGCAGATCATAATTATTTGTATTAAGTATGAGTGAGGGGACTTCTCCTGTCACCTGTAAGTTAATTATACGCTATTTAATTAAACTTGAATTTACCCCTGCAATAAGTAGGTAATTACGTATAAGGTACTTCGTAGAAATGATTCCTATATAGCAAGTAGCGCATTTAGTAAATATTAATTGGAAAAGGAAACCAATTCATTGATTTTTTTCATTACAGTCTCTCAAGTTTTGTATTATAATTACTGATCTTTGATTTAAGTACGAACAGTAAATTGTTTCTTATCATGTTTCATGGATTTGTTGAAAAGTTGACTTAAATCTTTGCTGAATAATGAAGTTTTTATTGATGTGGATCGTTAGAAATGACGAGATCTTTTACGGTTAATTAGTTGAATTTAGACTCCAGTAAGTTAGCATGCAGATGCGCTTAATTCGCTGGTAATGTTTTGTTTAGATGGCAAACTAGAGCGGGGCATGTGCTTGACTGTCCCCGAGGGTGTCATACCGCTATTTGCGTATGCGAATATTGTATTAAGCAGTGCGCATTGATTTATTAAACTGATTTAACCTTTTGAAATTGAGCCGTCTTGGTGTTGTGTTAAAACATGGAGTACAAGTCAGACCATATTGAACCTTGAATTTCCTTCATAAAGCACGTAAACTAAATAGGCTTTCGCCCTTCTTAAGGAATAAATTTTCGTCTCGCGGTCTTTTGACTCTACGTGGTCCTTCTGACATCTTAGAATCTCGTTTCGAAACATTTGGGCCGAAATTTAAAGTAATCTTCATGCTGACAATATCTCTCTGCTGTTGAAAAAGAAACCCGACGAAAATGTGTTGTCTTCACACTGTAACCTCACAGAATCAAGCGCCCTCTGTTGCTGATGTTGCTAGAGTAGTGCACCGGTTTGTAAAAATCAAAACATGGAAAATGTACACAAAAAGATAGAATGTCATAAAAAAAAAACAGGTGCTCTTCATCTACAAAGTGGATTGCATTCCTTAATTGTTTCTATTTTCATATTTTTTATTTCATTTGTTGTCTCAATACAGCGGTACTTTGGTTCGATGCAGGAACCACAGAATAAAGACCCCAAAAAAAGCTGATTGCAAGAAAATCCTCGGTACAGATCCCCCATTACTTAGATTCCCCGCTCTTCTCCAAATGCACCGCCCACTTAAATAGTGGCGTGGGTTTTTGACGTGACATTTCGATTCCACGGAGACCGCCCGTCTTTTGTGAGCGCACAGCTACATCGGCCTACCCAAGCTCTCTCGCGACTAATACAAAATACCACGGCTGGCGTATTTTCTTAACGGAAAGGCGGAAGTTAGTGGTCATTTTCCTGGTCAGTTTGAAGTGCCCATAAACGCCAAGGTCGGAGGAAGGTGATTATTGCCTTCGACAGCAGAGAGTCTTACGATAGCTTTTTATACTCTCGAAGGTCAGGCAAAATCCACTTTTTTAGGCAGGAATTTGCAGTTCGTGATTGAAAGGGAATTGCAATAATTAATATCGATGCTGATATTCTGTAGAAGTTCTTAGTGGTTTGTATTTATTCCACAATAAGTAATCGTTCACAAATATACCCATCCCGTTTGACCGCATGTAAGGACCACTTTCACACTTCTGGTATGAGACTACCGTAGAACTTTGGGCTTCGATGAAGAGATTCAACTCCATCAGTTCGCAAACGGCAAGAGTTGAGGAGCTAACTTGGTGTCAAATTAATCTGGCCTCACAGAGAAAAAAAAGTCAAGAAAACAGCCAGCTTGATTATATCCTGGAGGTCAAATTTCCTTCTGGTTTTTAAAGCGAGGCATCCGAAGAGACTTTGGTGCTGGCTTAAGAAAAACCTGATTTTCGAAACAATCATTGAAACAACAAAGCACCTCTAATATCCACCCAAATAGTTCTATTAAAATGGCCTACACTGGGTCAGACAAACGCAGCGGGGTTTTGTTTCGAAATCTTGGCATCGATTCTACACAGGCCTCCTCTCTGAGATCAAAACCACCCGTGGCCTCATAATATCGAACTAAATGGAAATGCCTCTCATTTAGATCGAGGGCATATACACAGTTTCATGCTCTTGTAACAAAATGTGACGTTTTGTTAAGCTAGAAATTCCAAGGTAGGCGCTTAGGCGTCGTGGGGGGCAAGGGGGAACTTGCACCCTGGAAAATATTTTAAAAAGCTAACAAGAAACAACATGAGAAAAAAGAGAAAAACTTGACAAAATAGAAATGGACGGGGACGAAAATCACAAGTTTGCTCAAAATTTACCCTTTCCTGCTGTAAATTTGGTTAATTATAATTATAGATGGTGACAGTTTCCCCCCCCCCAAAAAAATTCTGGCAACGCCCATGGATAGACGGAGGAGTAAAATCAACAAAAGCGAAAGACAGCTGGGAAGCCGAGATTTCTTTCTTTAAAAAGCCCCTGACAGTCGCTGACGGTGAGCGATGGCTTGGATCTGCGCATGCCTGGACGATCACGGTCACTGCATGTAGACGGCGTGGCTTGCAGGCAGCGCAAGCAGGGCTCCTCGCCATTGCCAGGCTAACCAACCGCAGCTGGGTAAATGAATACCGCGTTCAGCAGGGCCGGCGATGCGGTATATAAACCAGCGACGAGCCGGGGAAATGCAGAGAATAATGATCCTCACTGCGGCGGCATTGACAAGATAGCGAGATCTCTCTCTTGCACGTGCGTGTTTCCTGACCTGGGACTTGAGGACCAGCATGGACGACGCGGAGTCGTACAATTATCACTACGGCGAGCTGCTGCCCAAGTTGACGGACGGCGAGTGCGCCTTCATGAAGTTCTTCAACATCACCCCAGAGATCATTGGGGACTTCACGTACACCACCAGGCAGAAGGCGCTGCTGTTGGGAGTGCTACCTCTGCTCATGGTGATTGGTTTGCTGGACAACCTGGCCTTTGTGTACGTGGTGCTCAGGATCCCGGAAATGAAGACTGTGACCAACTCCTACCTCCTGAACCTGGCCATAGCCGACGTGCTGTACCTGACCTTCTCGGTCGGGGAGAAGCTGATAAAGTACGGTCTGTCCCCGGTCTCCGACGACGACGGGGCGCTGGGGCTGGGCGGCTGCATCGTGATCTATATCATCAGCGATCTGGCCTACTTCGCCGGCTTGTTCTTCGTCACCCTGGTGTCCTTCGACCGGTTCCTGGCTGTGCACAGCCCCATGGCCAGCGGGAGGAAAGGCGGCCGGAACTACACCCAGATTGCGATCGCTGGAACCTGGATAGTAGCGGCCGTCTTGGCGGCAATCATGTCGCCGTCGTATGGGGCCCTGGAGGAGTATTGTATCCTCTGGCCCGATGAAGCGCCATACAACGAATGGTCCCACGTGGCAGCCGAGTGCATGGCGGTGGAGCCCTGGCTTATGCCCTTCACCCAGGGCCTCCAAACTCTGCCGTTCTTCATCTCCTTCGTCGTCAACGTCATCCTGTACATCTTCATCATCAAGGGCCTGGACCAGTCCATCGAGCGGCTGCGGAAGCACGGGCTGATGAAGGAGAAGGACATTAACGTCCGCAACCAGATCGCCCGCATGCTGGTGGTCAACGGCCTGGTCTTCTTCTGCTGTCTCGCCCCTTTCGAGATCCGGTCGCTGCTGAAGATGATCGACACCCTCTCCGGCGGGGACAAGATCGTGATCCCCTTGGAGACCAGCATCACCCTGGACCACATCGGGCGGGTGATGGCCTACACCAACTCGGCCATCAACCCGCTCATCTACACGGCCATGAGCAGCCGCTACCGTCAGGCCTTCAAGCAGGCTTTTTTACCTAAGAACCGGCAGGGATTTTTTCGCGGGGTTCGGACGTCGTTTAACCAGACGTTATCGCACACCACTGAGACCCATATGGATGAAACCCACACGGAGTCCAGGTTCTGAGACTGGAGAGCAAGGCTAAGAGAGCAGACGTAAGCGGCCATCTCTCATGCATGTGCAGTCTTACGTACGGAAATGTATGCTTGTTGAGATTTTGAATACATTAACGGTGGCCTAGAATTGAAAGTTGTCCAGACGAGATGTTGTACAAAACACATCCAAAGATCACGTTGTCTAACAGGATAAAGAAGACAAATATTTATATGTATATTTCGATCAGTTCAAAAGTATATTAGTAAATTGTACAGACAACAATATCGTACTATATTATAGAAATACGATTGGTGCATTTGACATCAAGATTAGAATTTCAACAAGATTTCAACGGGACACAATTTCTTTTAAACTTTGGTTTTTGGCTTAAGTCCCACGACTTTTGGGAGCTCAAAGCATACCTTCTTGTAAGATTAAGAAGAAAGCTGCATGGCATTTCATTCTCATTATCAAAGTATGACTAAGCAAGGTGCAACTCAAAAATGTATTTTATTCCCCAAAATAATTCGACTGAACCTCGTCGACGATGCTTCGCAGAGCGCAAAAGGACCTTGTCTAATGCACGGCCTTGGTTTGCGAATTCCGGCTTCAAATCCCCCATTTTAAGCCGTAGTGCAAGGGCATCATAATCCGATCAAAGGGCACCTGGAATCCGCAGACCATCCATTGAAATTTACGCCCCGTAAAATGAGATCCCAGCCCGGACACGCTTTGCCAGTAAACGCGCGCATACTGAAGAATGACGGCTTAGTGTAAGGTTGCGAAATTAATTCACGCGTCGTTGGAAATGCTCTCCGCTCGGGCAAGTGCGCGTGCAGGCCCGCGAGTGATTTACTCCGCTAAACCACATAGGCGTGTATGGAAACTGTACACTGAGACGTGTTTCAGAGATCAGTCCATTTTAGTGACATTTTATCTTCTGGTGTGGGAATTAGGTCTTTGTTTTGAGGTTTATACATATGGTTGGTGATAATCAGAACCTAAAAAAACTTAAGCATGGTCGAATAAGAGAAAAAATAATATGGTGAATTCATGTACCCAAAATTAAATTAAGCCCTATTTACTCTTTGAACTTGCTATATATTATGATATATTTAGCTCTACAGTAGGATAAATTCACTCCCAAGTTAGGGTAAAAAAAACTACTCTTAAAATATTTTAACCCTATTTTGGGGTCAAAATTTGGATCTGGTTAATTTTAACCCTAGCAGTTTTTCGTTGGAAAGGGCAGGCTAGGCCTACTCGTCTCAACACAGAGGAAACAATTTGAATCTGTACAGCCGCCGAAATGTACACTAACACACCTATTTTCAGTGTTGGTAGTATCGAGGTGTTGGGAGCCAGCCGCGCACAAGCACCTCCTCATCGGTTGAAAAGAGCCGCGTTGGTCGGGAGTGTTTATTTTGTTGGTAGCGACGCGACTGAAACGCTTGCGTTTCCTAGTCGTTCGTGAACTAGTGATGCGATTAGTACCGAAGGAGCCTCCGAGAAATACCGCCCTCTCCTGCTACAGCTCGAGGCTCATAGGCTAAACCAGCGACTGAAATTAGGAGCCATCAGTGCGGTGGTACCACGCACGCTCATGCACAGGTCGTGCGGGCCTTGAACACCTCTTCGACCTATAGGTGACAACACAAGCACCTGTGGGCTAACAGCGCTGCGTGAATGCTGTGCCGACTGTAAAAACGACGCTTTCTCGGATTTCTCGTTTTTTTATATCGCCCGTGCAAGATATACATCGGGAAATCGGGGCTTGTTTCGACTCCTAATCCTTCACGCTTAGCTGCAGCTGCCCTGTCTACCGAATTGTTAACCCTGCCGTCGTGTCACCGAGTCCGTCATGAATAATAAACAATCACCTAGGATTACACACTTAGATCGATGACAGCGTGCGGGGTTGAATCAAAGTCAACCACGGTGAAAGGCTGCGAGGATTTCTCGGCAGGACTTTATGCTTTTTTTTTTCCCATAAAGGGATGTCGTGAGCAAAGTCGCCTTCAGACTCAACCGCCATTAACGACGCGGGTTCAAAAACACGGCACACTTTCCTGCGCTTCATTAACGCCAGCAGCGGACCGTATCCTGGTAAAAACAAAAAACAACCTAAAAATCGCGCTGCCGTTTTCGCTGGGCTGAAGAAATGAAATCATTTTCCTACATTTCCGGACTGAAACAGAATGGAAGGATAGGACCAAACGCCGGAGCTCCTTTAAATTACAAAAACGGTTAATGTCAATTTCAAAAGTGAGATTTGTCCTTTGGAAAATGTAGCCATAATTTGGAGAGACAAAGTGTGACTTCTGACTCTGTTAACCTTAGAGGAAGTAGACCTAAGAAGAAAAGAGTTCCCAAATTATTAACTGAAAACATAATGAATTTAGGACTCCAGTCTTTAAACCCAAAAATTAGATGCGAAGCAAATCATTGATTACACAAAAGGTTTTTTTTCATAAGTCTTGAGCCTGAAACAGCCACACAAGCAGAGGAATGAAGGCCACGTTTGTTTTGGATCGCGATGATCCGTAGTTGTCTACGGACACCAAGACCCGCATAGCGGATGGTGCGAACCAGCATTAGGATCACTGACGGAGATCCCTATCCGTGTGAAACTAGCAGGCCTATACTTAGACCGCACCTCGTGCTATCCAAGATGTTAGTAGACGAACAAGCAGAAAAAAAATCTGCTCCAGCTTTTAGAAATCTCACCCTTGGGAAAATTTTCCCTGAATTCCTGAATTGAGTGGTCGTGAAGTGAACTGCCGACCCAGCCTGGAAATGTGAAGAACATGTGTTCAGTAATTCCTCAGAATGATAGGAATATGTCTCCTGAAGCTCTGGTTTAAAGGAACAACATAACATGTAATCCTCCCATTTGAAAGCACTGAGTGAATGGTCGTTCTTATACATCTCTTGTGAGGTTGCGCGATAGAAGCATCAGGGACGGATCTAGCTTTCAGGGAAACCGGGGGGGGGGGGATAATGGTCGTGCTGAAGGAAGCCCTACTGTGGGGATCCACCGGAAATCGATGTGATTGTTTAACTATCGATGGATAGACGGACGGCGCAATCCTCGTCCGGGGTTTTTATTTGGTAGGTCGACTCATTTTCTGTCATTTCACTGGTAGTTCCATTTCGTCCGCGGCTGTACTGGGGGGGGGTTGCAACCCTCACCCCCTTTAGATCCACCTCTTGGGATGTCCTAGCGAGAGTCTGCTTTTGACGCCGTCGGGTTTGTCCCCCCCCCAAAAAAAGTTTCTACACCGAGAATAACGTGCGGCCGTGACAGGTGTAGCAGTAGCAGGCATCTGCGCTCTGTTGTCGCGCCTGGCATTTCAACTGAATCAGTGCACCCCATTCGCAACTGTAAAAGTAGCGGCTCCAAACCACCGCATTATGCGGATCTGGTAATTACAAAATTTGCCACGTCTCTCCTCTTCTCTAACCTTACTCTGCGTCTCACCCAAAGTGTATTTAAAACACAAGTGCCCTGAATTTATTATTTGCTGTCATTATAATTGATATTTTCAGCTTTGATTCAATTGATAAAGGGTTACGGTTCCTCCGTTGGGGCAGGGATTTCGTAAATGCGAGACAATTACGGTCTCATGTCGTGCGCTATAGGAGTAATAGAATTGAAAGAAAGATTTTACTGCTCGTGAGAAACATCTTAGAACACTCCACGGTTTCTGTGCCTCCCCTCTGGTAAAGGTAATTGAAATCGCCGCATTATAGGTATATCCTCTGTCCCAAGCTCCATGGACTCACCTCAGACTGAAATCAGATAAATCCGAAGGGGAAGATTTTTCAATTTACCACTTTCGGGAGATTAACACCTCGCAATTTCCATCTCTCCCCCCCCCAGCCTGTCGGAGGGTGACAAGTTCGCGTGGGGAGCCCCTTTCTGGAAGGCTCCCGCCAGACCTGCCCTTCTTTGCGTGATGCGGCAATTGCCTGCATGGGATCGGCGCGCACCGCCACGTCCACATAATGCGCAATTACGGTGAAATCCAATTTCACGTGTCGGCTGCGCTGGCATTTGGGGTTTCTTCTGTCCTTTCCGCCCGGCCCTGCGCGGGCTGTCGGCAATATTGACGCACCGTCGAGCAAACGTTAATTACCAGAAAAACCTCGTCTAACACCCGATGGAACATTCAACTCATCTCCTCTACAGTAAAACGTTTGAATCGGTAAGGATTTTTAAAAATACTTGGTACCGCCTGAAGTCGTCCCAATTCAATTTTCTTAGAGAAAGTAATTCCATTTTTCCTTTCAAAACTTCATACATTTTGATACTTCAACAATGGATGAAAATCCACATAGATAGTCTGTCTTGAACATACAAAGGTCAGGCTGAATCTGAAACACAAGAATACACTTGTTTAGATAGGTTTACTCGAATAAAAAGCTTTCTCCATTTTTAAAAGGGTCATAACTTCAATTTCATACGGCCACGTCCCCAGGAGAAGACAAAGTGGGTTTAGGCCTACCCTATGAATATACTAGTGTCTGACTTATTAAGAATCTTGTCTTAAAAATGCAATTTGGTTCACAAAACAAATGAAACATTTGAGAACAGTCGAAATCGTGTGCACCAGCATCTCAGCTTAAAATCTCTTTGACATCTGACGCTTCTCTAGGAATTGTAGAGAGCTCACGATATAATTGGAAGAAAAAACGTGGTAAGCTTTCCAATCAGGCGCTGATCCGCAGGAAGATTTGTACGTCTCGTTTTACTACATTTTTGTGGACAAAATGTGCTCCCATTCAATTTCGAGAATGGAGAGGGACTTAAGCTTTTTCAAATGTGCCATTTTGAAAGACATTAGTGCTTAGCCGTAAGAAACAAAAGCCTCAGCGCTGGATTACTGTCGCCGCGGAAGATGTTTTGAACCTTTTCTTAAAAATAAAAGGCCGGTGCCGGAAGAAAATTACTTCTTAGAAGAGAAGTTGATCTTAGCTGAAGTTTACAGTCCACGCAAAGCCAAGCGTTTCATAATGTCTGTTTTGATTGAAAGGATAAAATTTCTCGTCATCCCAATTAGTTTCAACTAAATTTCAAGCGCGCTGTTTAAAGATCAAAGTACGCACGGATGATGCAGCCGCGTTTCGCCCATTAAAATAAAGCGTGGTTTTGCACTTGTGTTATAAATCTAACACGGCGAGTTTTTCGTGGTAGCTGTGATCGATAGACACTCGAAAAAAATTAAGATTTTTTAAAACAAAATACATCGTCACATCTTCTTTCAAGAATAAAATAATAGGGGAAAATGAAGTTAAATGTACCTCTTGTGGCGTGGTAAAAATAAAATAAAAGTGTCTGCAAAGTTTAAGGAATGAACTGTCTGTACAAGTGACAGAATGTCAGCGATTGCATTCAGCTTATTCCTGTCCAAAACGTCTGGCAACTCCGTAATGTGGTTTTGGGCAAATCTTGTCATATTTCGATGTGGTAATTTGACCAGTGATGGACAGAAGCCCCCCTCCCGCGTACGTGAATGTGACCGTTAATGAACCACCATTAAAGCCGCGGAGTTGGCGTTGAAATCCTGAGTGCTTTGAAGTGAGATTGCTTATAGGGCGAAACCCGGGATCCCGTAAGTCACGCACGATGGGCGCACCTCCCTCGCGATGATGATTGGGAGACGCTACCCCCTAATTGCCGCAGATTGTCGCGCCAAATATTATAATCATCATTCAGCTTGATGATATGAAACTATGCTACGGTAATAATCAGATATGAAACGCGATAATCAAAACACATTGAAGCTTTAGCTATCCCATTTCCTTTGCGTATACTTTAGCAGGTGAACATATTGATTCACGTGTTAGTGCTAGATATTACTGTTTTCATTTGACACGTCACTTTGCAGTTTGTATGCATCAAGAGCCTTCTCGTATTTGACGTGTGAACTTAATACGAGCAAGGAAAGGGACACACGTCAGGAGAAACTAAAATGTCAAATTTCCAGAATGACATAAAAAATGACAATTCATTCCACAACAGTTTATTGTAAAAAAGGACTGAACATTCAGTGATATCTCCAAGGGCTGTTTTTCTGCGTTCGTAGGAATAAATCCTGGTGTGGTGTATTTCCAACGTATAGGAGTAAGAAGCTTGTCCAGTGTCCAGTGGTCAGTTAGCCAACATTTTCATTTCGTAGGGAGTTTTCCACACAGCTAGTTTGCGTTACTTGCTTGCTTCAAGGTTCATTGAATTTTCCCGTTTTCGTCTTTAAAATAAAGTATATGCACAGTCAAAAGATGGACTTTGACCCACGAAGCCCCGCAGTACCGGAAGAAACAGGGCCGTATTCATTTTAACACGAACCTTTACTCACTCGGTGAAAAAATGTATGGGTCATCAACAGAAAAATATTGTCGTGCGTTAAAGGCCGAATTTTCGTCACAGTCACGCTCATTACCACCGCATCCTCATCTTGATGGGGCATTTTAAAATCGCTCACGAATCTGGCAGAGCAGTCGCGAGAGACGCGCGGATCTCTTCAATAATTCAAGGAGAATTTCATCGAGTCGGCCTCCGGGCCCCATCCAGGTACCAAGGGACCGTCAGGAGGGCTCTGTGTTCTCGCTTTCCATATGGTCGGCTGCCACGGCGCTCTTGAGCCAAACATTTTCTGTAGTCTTACTGTCAAAATATTTGGGTTGTACCCACGTATTGCTTGGGGTAGAGTGTTTCCCACATTACAACAAGTCAGCCATATGGTCCGATCTTCGTGAATCGTGGCTTGCCTGTCATCGTCTGACCCCCAACTTGCCATGAAAATTTGCGGAGACTTTTTTTCACGTAGATTTACATGTAGATATCAAAACGTTTGTTTTCACTCCTGCCTTCAACAATCTGTATTATCCCGTAATATGAATTCCTTCAAGTCTTTTGCGTGCTACGTGTCAAAAACAAGCATAACTTAATAAAACCCTACAATACTCATCAAAGCGTTGAAAGTCCTGAAGAAAACTCTCCAACAAATGCCCGCTGGTATCCCAGGCCTACATGTTGCCGTATTAAAAGAATACAAAAAAATCCGCTCACTGAAATCCCTTGCGTATGAAGCAGACTTGACTAACAAGCCAAGGCGAATGGCCGGGTGTAATTTATCATTCATCCAAGATGGATTGCTTTGTTCCATCAACAAGATGGTTATTGCGTGCCCTGCTGGGGGGGATATAGGCTACGCCATGATATGCTTTTCCGGTGTATAATTTTTAACGAACCAGGCCTGGCCTTCTCGATTAATGCTTAATTTAACCGTAATGTGTTCAAAAATTAACCGAGGAAAGGTAAAATCACCTCTGTACGACTTCGAACTGGTTAGCAGCATTTTGTCGTACAGTCTGGCAAAACGATACCCCTTTAAATTTCTGATCGGCTTTTGCTTCCATAATGTAAAATTGTGATCAGGAAATAGTGTGTATTTCAAGGACAAATCTGGCAGATGGTTTTCCAGTCCCAATATCTTTAAGTCGTAACCGAAGAGCTGGCAAGGAATCATCTTCTTTGTCACCTAAAGCAAGAACATGAAACATAAAACGTGAGCCAAGGCATCGCGTGATCTCCACGTGACCTTTGACCTATTCACTGGTGCAAGGACCGAGTGTCCCAGTCGCATTATCACATTTCACACATTGGTGGCGTATTAGATAACGTCAACATCCTTCTAACGTATTGTTCAAGTGATCTTCTTTCTTTTCATCTCTTTTAAAACAGAAATGGCCTTTTCATCCTCAATTTCAACAGAGGAAAAATTCAAAAATCTTGTGGAGAGCCCTTTGACAAGTCCCGTTTGCCCGCAATGTGATATGTTTTCCTTCCCCTACAATGCCAACAATTTCTTTCTAAAGTCTTGAGTGATTCATACGAACGTGCCAGCGATACGAGCGGAAAGGATAATTTGTCTCCCTGGACTGACGAAGAAATGAATTTTGCCGCTCGACAACTTGGGAAAAATTGCGGACATAAACTACCGCCAGACTGACGTGCAACCCCGACGTTGACGAGTTTGCGCCCATGGTCCGTGAAAAGCAGACGGGCGCGTGAACAGTTCGCCTCAGCAATGATTAATATAGAACCACAAGCGACATTCGACTGCGACATGTCCAACGACGGACGAAACCCGACAACTGTACTTGCTCTCTTCGAAGTCCCCACGTCCCACTGGAGACGCAATTAACTTTCAAAACTGGAGGCCAGCCCCCTCCCTTTATCCGATACGGTTTAAAAATAGAAGAAGTTAACTGAAACGTTTGTTCGGGAGGCCGTCGCCCACAGACTTTTGGGGGCAATTTGGCGGGAAATCAGTGTCACTCCGAATCCGAAACTGTGTACCGTGTAATTGCCGTACGGTGGAAACAGTTATTATCTTGCGTGTCTCATTAAGGCGGATCTGAGTCGTATAAATTCCATTAAAATGTAAATATGACTGGCAACCTCGATAAAAAAAGACCCACTTTGTGGCATTACCAAGGACATCGCGCCTCAGCCAAGTGAGAAAATGCCAAAAATAGACGAGAACAATTGCAAATGCTAATAACTGCAGGCAGTAAGCTTCTGGGAACAGCACACATAATTTCCCCTAAATCGACTTCCCGTCGAACAGGAGAGCAATTCGCAATCAATTCAAAAATTACTCTGCCAAACAAAAAAAAGGGTTAAGTTGTCTTAAAATATATTGTGTGCTTATTCTTCCTGGCGTGCTTCCACCATCAACAAAAACAGGACCGTAAAAAAGAACTTTTTCAATGATCGGAAAGTGTTTCAACACTTAAGTCTACTTCGAAGATTTTAGATAACGGGCAAGCAGTAACGTACGCGTTTAGAGAAAATCTCTACAGGCAATAGCCGTCGGATTCCATAAGCGCCCTTGCTTTTTCCGGGCATAGCAATGTCTTTGGGATACAATGTCAAAAGAAAACTAATTCAACAGATCCATTGTATGCACATATTTGAATTTGTAATATCGGCGTAAATATTTAAACGCAGTTCTTTCCCCATAACCGTTTAGAAATAAAGGTTGTTCTAAGACATCCTCGGCTCTACACTTTACCCAAAAGATAACAAAGCCAAGGATTGGAAAAAAACGGTCGTTGGTGTATCAGTCGACATGAGGACAATTTGCCGACAACTTCTTGGGCAAATAACAAATCCAGAGAGCGGACCAATCGTTTCCGCATCAGACATAGAGGAACAATATTGTCGACAAAGCGACAGAAGTCAAATATAATGACAAAATAGGTGTCCACTGAAGCTTATATGCCTTCATCTCTTGATGAAACACTCCATTTGTTTCGAAGCACACTTTCTTATGTGCCCCGTACCTTTATAAGAGTTCACTGTCGCTGATCGACACGCGCGTTGTCATTAAACTCCGACACAGCTGTCGCTGTGCAGTATAGGATGAGCACTGTAGCAGTTAGTTTTATTTTGTCGACATTCTTGTCGCTTTAAACTATCGTTCCACGTATTGTATTATATATTTCAGTGAAAATGTTGCAGATGGTGCATTGTAAATGAATTGTACTTTTATTGAAAAGTGAAATCTGGAAATAAAAGAAAATGTAAATATATATGGAAAAGCAAGTGTTACCAGGCCCAGTTTTTCTGCTGACAGTGTCGATCCCTACTTTGAGTTTCCACTTTCTTCTCGTTTGATTTGTGTTTGGTGCGCGAACAAGGTGGGCTAAATCGAAAGTGTACTTTCAGCAAAAACAGTTTGAGGTATTAACGATGCTAAAACCACCGGGAGTACCGATTCTGTTTTGGGACGGGCACCAGTCAGTTTTTGAGGCGTAGTTACTTTGAACACAGAAGAATTTTTCCCTACATTTCTGGAAAAAAATCACAAACAATCATGCGATAATACAAAATCTCCCCGTTGCGAGCATGGTGGGGAGGCTTGAGAATTGAGGACTTCACTGGAGCGTTTTTCTTTTCTTATACCATTTTTAGCCGAAGAATCTCTTTTGTAAAAGTCTCGATAATGGTCGTTGGAGGAGTGACTCTGCATGCATTTAAAACAAAAAATTACAAAAATAAAGACACAGAAACATTTTGCCTGTTCTTTCAAAAAAATCCGTATCTTCGAATATGAAGAGCGAGAACGAGTGTTTTGCGGATTGATAAAGTCTCTCCCGCGTGAGTGTGGCATTTTCAAAGCTCCAGTCCCTTAATAAGTTTAAGGAGTTTTAACGTCAAAATATTTTATCAGATTGTACCTAAGTGCTATTGCTTTCATCTCTCTGCCAATCAAACAAGAGCTCAAGCATGGAGCTGTAAGGAAAAAAGTCAGGGAAGTGGCTTTCAAGTGTCATTTTTCTCAAGAGTCCCTCGACGGCGGGAAAGAGATGTTTTCAAGTGGGCGAATCGTATAGTCTTCCAGCAAAACAGCCGCGATAAACTCCTTTAGCAGAAACCAACTCTGCATCCGAAATCTTGAGGCGGTTCAGGGGCCAGCCCCACAAACACTATCCGCACCGGGTAGTGCGATATCCGGCGATACTATCTGCGCAGTCTCTTACTACTTTCCACCAGCCTAGGGGGCACTAGGATCTGAGATCTATGCCAGGATTCCATCGGGGAAAAAATTCAAAATCTCGACTACTGTTTCCTAGGCATCCTACGACCATCGCTCAGTCGACCCTCAAGGCAACACACGGGTGTTCGGGTAGAGGGGCACGGAAATGGAACGGGCTGATCCTCCTCGGATTAATGTCCGGCCGGGCTCCAGGGGAGATTACGGAGCTCACGGGTGTACGTATCACGGCCTGGTGAAAGATAACATAAGCTGGCATGCTGTCCATGAGACATTGCATCGAAGTGATGTCTTGCAAGGACAATTTGTCTGCCAGCAGTCCAGCATTTCGACAGGAAGCCAGAAATTGTTTTATAACAAAAGAGGTTCTGCCATTGGAATGGCGACACAAAATGAGCATAAAAGAAAAAAGAAAGAGACGACAACAGTGACAACGATGATCACAACGACGACGACATGCAACAACAATCAAAGCCATGTCGTCAACGAACAACGACGGGCTCGTTGTGATTTGCCACACGGTGGAAAAGGGACACTTGATACCGGATGAAATCTCTTCAAACAATGAATCAGCTTTGAAAACAAAATAATTGGAGAGGTGAAACAAGTTGACCTTAAAATCGACCGAGCTTCTTACACCTGTAAAGAAAGACCAACGCTTGTAGTAGGTGTTGCATTTAACAAGATGGTAAAGCTGGATACCAACATCACACCTCACTGCAATAACGATGGTGTCGAATTTACACCGCATAAACATGTAGAACTCCGACTGAACTATTAGATCGCATTGCGCCATAGATATCTAACAAGGTGTTGGCCTTAAGCCCAAGCTGTCGTAAAATTGGAATGGCAATTTTCAGAGGGGCACCAACTCTTTCAACCCCGATTTTCTAGGGCCTCTTGGAAGTTGGGAACCTCTTTTCCGCTAAACCAGGTTCCAAAACACAAACGAAACACGACGATTTCCCCCCCCCCATTTTGGTTCCTAACTGCTTCTTGAATGCTAAGGGCTCTCCTTTTCCAGCTCATCAGCATTCCACAAATCATGAGAAATACATTAAAAGATTTTCTCTCGCAAGTGGGAAAAAGGAAAAAACAAAACAAAACCCGTAGAGATCTCATGCCGTTCGATCCTACATGCTCTCAGCCAGCTAAAGATAACTTCAGCTGGGGAAAGTCAATATTATCTTTGCACGGGCGGTTTTTTCCCCCAGCAGTGACCCAAACTGACAGAGGCAATAGGAATGCCTGTATGCTCATCTTATTTACAGAATATTTCGTGCACACATTGGCGCCGGTTTTATGTACTGAACATGCATGGCATTTATTAGTACATGTATTTTTGTATATTTTATGTCTATTTTAGCCACTCTGTACAGTTATTCAAAGCTTGTGAACAATTTTACGTGAAGTTTCCAAACGACCAGAGCATGCAAAGCAGCCACTCGAAACGCTCCATTGTTCAACATTCTTGTAACAATCCTTATACTCACGCAGGCCTACTCCGGATCGACGATTTTCCAATCCAAAGGCACAGGGCATGCGCAGGGGACGGACAAAAATCACCTGTCTAAAAATGGTCCGATGAAGATCACGTGCAGCCCTCGCGGCCAAATTGTAAGAGGAGACCGGGATCACCCGGCGGTCAAAGTCTGTCGGTCCGTCAGTTGACTTCTCTAGGATATTTTGGGCCCCTAAGGTATTTCCCACGTTTCGTTTCGATCTTGCCGCCGCAATCACACAATGTCAATGTTTGATCCTGTCTGGCATGATCCTACATTATCCCACTCTATAGTGTGCAAATGTTTGGCGAAGCACAGCGTCAAGCGAGCAGTGCAGACATCGCCCCGTGATGAGTTCAACGGGTACGTTCACGCAGCTGAGCATGCGTGGTTTGAGCTGAGGCCCGATTGTCGTTCCACGGAACTTTCATCATAAATCCGTGTCTACAAAAGCCTCTCAACATACGCCTGCGTGAGCAGAAAGCTTTTGCTCAAGCCATTAGGCAATCAACATGGATGATATCGATCATACTTCAAACACATTAAGATGGGTGCGAATGGCCATTTCAAAACTACCTTGGCGAAAAAGTTATTTTCACTCAGGGGAAAGAGGCCTCAAGTAAGATGCGGGCTCTGGTTTGAGGTAAGTTCGTAGACTGTATCGATGTGACGAGCAACACTGAGCCACGACCGATGGGAACCCGATAACGCTAAGGTATTGCTAAAGCACATCTCAGTCGCACAGTAACTTTTTTCGCAGTACTTTCAAAAGACTTCATTGGAACAGTTGACCAGCTTCAACCCCAGAATGAGACGAATAGTTTTCCTCTATCCTACAAGCCCGTGCAATGTCCTTGCAATATGGGCAAACCAAAAATGCAGCCAGGTTTAAGAGGGGTGAATCTATCAACCTCGAAAAAAGCTATCTACCCATATCTGTTGCTCACGCTCCACGACCCCCAGACCTTTACGTTGAACACACGTAGCTTAACAAAATCCTATTCACTTCATGCATTACATTTTGAGAGGCAGAGGCTCTGTTGAAATCCTGCATAGTTTCGAGGAGTAAATGTCCTTTTTACAAGAATTGCACTTTTGACGTTAAAGTGTTGTGAGATCCGTGACAGGGATGGATTGCTAGGAACCAGGCTGACAAAGCGTTTTTTTTTTTAGATCGTGAGCACTTGGAACTGTTGATCATGAACAACTGAGACTCCCTTTTCAATTCTTTTTTTTTAAGAACAAATTTTAAGAACAAAAAGCATACAAGGAATGAGCAATCTGTCTTACTGTAACCTTGGTAACGAGCCACAAACAAGAAGGATGGATTGGACAACCAAATCATTAGCAACGCAATAACTGCAGTTGCATTGGCTGTCATATTCTGCTTCTACATGATGCCTTAAAATGTCGCGTTTTTACACTGGAGCATAATATACTCATCGCCGGCAGTACCTACGTTGTCTTTCTTTTTCAATTTCGAGTGTGATGTGAAGAAATCATCAAGAAAACCAATCTAGCAGACTGATTTTCATTTGTAAAAAAAAAGGATCGAGTCAGATCCGAACCTGTCGTCAATGCGGCGTTTCAGGTTATCAGCAGCCCAAATAAGTACTTCACATATATTACCTCTGGAGACTGTCAGATTCACAATCTACACACGAAACAGTCGTCTATATTGGATTCGATGACTAGGACTACCCCAATTCCGTGGAGTACTTGCCTAATTGTTTGTTTCTGTTTTGTTTTAATGAACCTATTCCTCAGTTCTCAGAAATAGTGAATATATGAATTCTCGGCAAACATACCCACAGCTCCAAATGCCACTTTAAGCAAAGAAATCTATCGACATGTCGAGCGAGGTGTGGTAGAGACGAAACACTCCACACCTGGAATTACATTCTTTTGAGTACTCGGACAGACGCTGTACATTCCTTCGCTTCGTAATTACAGCAGTATTTGTATACCAGAGGTCTAAACAAAAGTCCTTTTTGTCATTGAATGAGTATGGTCCGCTTCAAATTGCTCTACAGTCGGGATACGGCGGAGTGTTTTAGTCACCTTTGTTTCATTTTCCCATTTTTGGCGCCAAACCAAACAAAAATGTCAATGACAGATTGGTAAACATACCCGGCGCGTGTTATTAGTTTCGAATTACCGCTCCCATATTCTCCCTACGAGTTGAGAGCATATCAACATGTTTCAGTCCGCCACCCCAATTATGGTCCACTGCGGGGACCAGCGGCTGATGGATCCCTCTGATTTCTTGTTTACCAGAAAGCGCGGGAAAGAAACTGCCCTGTCCTTAAGCAGAAACACGTCCCACTCGTTTTCTGATTTGCTGCGACTAATAGCCCTGGACGTATCTATCCATTACTCAACAGTTTTGGACATTTTGATGAAAGAAGAGAAGCGAGACTCCAACGAGATTTAATAAAACCGAGGCTAAACGAGTAAGTTTTCAGTTACAAACACGACGTGATCGGGTGGTATGGATTTCTAGTTTGATGACGTCGCAGAAGTTTGTTCAGG